AACTTGGCAGAAGGGTAGGTCAGCAATAGTGGAAAACATTGTCCTTGATGTTTAATGGGAGAAATAAGCAGTAAAAATGATCAGTCCATTCGAGTGCGCTTAATGTTGATATAAACAGATGACCTCGACTCGGTTACCCCGGCACAATGTAAGTCAATTATTTTTCGGTTTTAAGAAAAAGGAAACCAAAGACTTCCCTCAACACTATGTATCTATAATAATTACACCAGGAATATATATTTTTTTAACACTTGAAGGTTGTACCATCTTGTTGAAGCAAAGGATATTTCTCTGTAATACCTATAAGCTTACATTAAGTTTCATAAATAGGAAAAAAAATTAATAAGATTTACATACAGCTCCAAACATGTACATCTGTTATGCATGAAGCAATTTCATATCGTTCCACATCAATAGTTAGTGCGAATGGAGTCAAACATGTACAGTGAAACTTGTATAATTTAAGCGGACACCTCAGAGAATGCTGTAGTGCCCACTTAATACAAAGTTTCTTCCTACTACATACAGGTTTTGATAGAAAATGTCATATGAGGCAGATCTGCCAACTCTCACAATTCTGCCGTGAGTCTCACGATTTTTTAACTTTTCTCACGGTGTCATGACAAGACTCCCAATCTCATGGTTTTCTGGGAAATATTCTAAACTGAAATATTACCTTGTTGAGTAAAAACTTATATTTTGTGGGGAAATTCTTGTGCCTGGATAAGCTTTGACTATATTAGAAGTTGTCTTAGCCCAAAGAAATGACTCTGCTGTATGTTTCGTTACAGTGATAACCTATTTTTTGGCATCTTAAAGTCATCAAAGATAAAGCAGCATCTAATTTGTTACATAAGGGACCACACTAAAGCAAGGTTATATTAAAATAAACAGTTGATTCCCCTAATGGAAAAGGGGCCGTTTAATTTTGATCGGGAAAAAATAGAATCTCACTACTTTTTGTAGAATCTCCCAATTTTTTTTCTTGAGTCTACAGATTTTCCTTTATCAGAGGTTGGCAGGTCTGTGTGAGGAGCTAAGTACCATTTAAATAAAAGGCAGAAACATTTGGAATACTTCCAGAGATATGATGATATACATTTGCATTAATAATGGTAATTGAACTAAGTGGAGTGCAATTTGGTCTGAAATCATACGCGTGATTTCAAAATCGAACAAGCACGCAGCACGAGTTTGATTTGAAACCACAAGTATAATTTCAGACCAAAATTGCACGACACGAAGTTCAACTACCACTTTATTACATCTATTTTGAAATCGCAGAATTTAGTCAATACTAATATTTTATTGATCAAGTAGCTGGTTTGTTAAAAAGCCGAAACAAAAAGGCTTTTACGTCTCATTTTGTATTCGAAACAGAAATGATGCGAAATATAGAACAAAAATGGTGCGATTTAAAACAGAAATGATGCGATTTAGAACATGAATGATGCGATTTGGAACAGATGCGATTTAGAGCAAAAAATGGTGTGATTTATAATGGTAATTGAACTAAGTGGAGTGCAATTTGGTCTGAAATCATACGCGTGATTTCAAAATCGAACGAGCGCGCAGCGCGAGTTTGATTTGAAATCACAAGTATGATTTGAAAATGAGATGATCAATCAAAATGAGATGTAAAAGCCTTGTTTGTTTCGGCTTTTTAACTAACCGGCGACTCGACCAATAAAATATTAGTACTGACTAAATTCTGCGATTTCAAAATAGATGTAATAAAGTGGTAACTGAACTTCGTGTCGTGCAATTTTGGTCTGAAATCATACTTGTGATTTCAAATCGAACTCGCGCTGCGCGCTCGTTAGATTTTAAAATCACGCGTATGATTTCAGACCACATTGCACTCCACTCAGTTCAATTACCATTATAAATCACACTGCTGAGAGCCAATCAGATTGCACGGATAGCCAGTGATTTCAAAGTGGATGTAATAAAGGAATAAATCACACTGCTGAGAGCCAATCAGGTTGCATGGATAGCCAGTGATTTCAAAGTGGATGTAATAAATATCTTTATTAATTAAACCTAGATTGTACCTCAAATTTTAAGATATCAAATGAGTGAAACAAGCTTTATACAAACAAACATGAAAGGAGAAAGTACTGTAACTCATTTATATAATTTACAGAAGTCCCCTGGTGACACCAGCCAAGTGCTGATAGGGCAAGACTCCCAATCTCATGGTTTTCTGGGAAAGCAAAAGGCATCTTAAAATAACAAAAGGCACATAGGGCTCAGCCGAATAGTACCATAATGACGTCAACACGTATGGAAACAGGCCTTTTCTCCGAAACCTGCCCCATTCCCCTATGGCTATTTTTATTTGCGTTTACCCTACCTCACCTCTCCTCCCCATACCTGATGAAACAAGGCTTTCAACAGTTTGTTGAGATAGGATGCTTTTTGTTTTAAAGGATGACCTCATCATATTTTATTATTGTAGAGACAGGGGTAAGATAAGTTAACAATAATAGACAGATTATCATAGGTGGGTTACTCATTTTTACAGCTATCCCTGGAAGAAGAAATAGAAGTAAGGAGCTGACTGGCAGCCACTGAGATTGAGGAGAGGAGAAAGGAAATTGAAAGAGAAGAGAAAGAGTTGAAAGGAAAAGAAGAAAGGTTAAAAGAAAAAGCAAAAGAAATTAAAAACACAGTAACAGAGGCCAAGCGGGTAGTTGCCCAACTGCAACTAAAGGCAGGGCAGCTAGAGTGCTTGGCTAACCAAATTCTAGAAGAGACCAAAAAGTTAAAGAAGAAGTAAAAGAAAAACACCAATGTAAGAAAATTTTATTGATAACAAGCCGTTTCTTTTGATCAAAGTCAATGTGCAAAGTTTTTAAATGTAAACAAGTCTAAGTCAGACCTGTTATGCAAGAAAGAAAACACATTTGTTCAGTATATAAAAAATAAAAGGAAACTGGTTCTTCTAATTTCTTGTATCCTGTATGGTCTCTTCTTGCTCCAGGGAATCCACTCCATCTAACATCCTCCACTTCCCGCACCGCACTTCTCTCTTCATGGAATCTATTATACTAGATCTTTACAGACATCCAGTAAGCAGCACCTCCCCCATCATACACTGCATATTTTTTCTCATCATCTACAGAGTATTCCCAACCAAGGAAGCACCTAATTATAAAATCAGTCAGATAAAAAGATATTATTATATAAAAAGTCTCTTTTTATATTGTAAAAGTGTGAGAAGGATGATGATATTCATCGCATGAAAATCCTGCAATTTTTATATCCTTAGAAATTTTTCCCCCTCATTTTAAGATGCGGACGCCCGAGGAAACACATTTTCAATATTACACCATTAAAACGCTTACTAGTGTCCGTTTTCTTGGCTTTTTCTAGCTTTTTTTCTATTTACTCTGTAAAGCGATTAAGGCAAAGCTACATACCCATCCTTTCTACGGATTCTCCTCCTCGATTCTCTGCATAAAGCCCTAAAAATGTTGATGTTGATAAAAAACTTTAGCTTACGGCACTTTACCCTAGTGATAGATTCTGTTTGACTATTTACGGGATAAAAACCATGTTCTCCTTTGTTTGTGGGGCGAAGAAGCAAAGAGAAAGGCAATGTGAACTTATCTCCATTATGAGCAATGAATGTTTTGACAAAATGATCGTAATTTATAGTGAAAAGTTGCAATATAATAAGCTCTAATAATAATAATATCCTTGGTTATCGCCCGACGATTTGATTCAATACGTTTTATTAACATTTTGATACGTTTGACTCAAACAGGAAATCCTTTCAAAACCCTTGAAGATTATAGCCGATATTTTATTAAAAAAAACACTTGCTTCTTACATTTGTTTAGTTTTAATGAATTGTTTACACAATTTGATAGTCTAGTACGAACATCATGACGCTATGTTTCGTGACCTGTCCACGCCACTTTCGCAATTTTTGTAAACATCCCTGAGGTTTGCGACTTTTATCCCACTGATCATTTTTGCTAACTTATTAGATGACTCACTTCTATCACTAATTGAGAGACCTATACCATATTAATGTCATTTGTTTTTCTCGAGACTAAATTCTGCTCGGCTCTTTAGTTATGCGTCTCTAAAGACGCGCCGGTATGAGTTGTACCATCTGGGTAATCGGATATTCTAAACAGAAAATTCTCCCAAAAGAGCTATTTCGCCCAGAAAAATTTAACTTAAGCTCAGGCGCTCAAGTTAAGCCCTGTCGGTCGGGGTTACAAACTGGATGGGTGACCCACCGCGAATATCGTCTTAAAGGTCCATACGTTGTTCTTTCTTTTCTTCTTCTTCTTTTTTGCGTATTATGTGGTATTATTGTTAAAAGTGTATTGAAAAGCAGATTTAGCATTATTTCTGCGTCCGGATTTAGAAAAGGAAAAAAACAAAGAACAAATATGGCCCCGTGCAGTTCGCCCGAAAATTATCATTCTTCGGGCGGTAATACAGAGCTGGAACTTTGCAGACTTTGATCTATATATCGGCGGGGAAACCGGCAAACAAAGAAATATGGGTTTTCGACCGTGTAAAACGATCATAATGCCTCTGATTCCAATCTCCTATTCCTCTGTCTCTTGTTGTCGGCGTTGCCTTCGCTGTGCTAAGCGATGTTCCTTCTGTCTTCTCCTTCGTTGTTCACGCTGAATTTGAAGTCGGCATTCTCCAGAGGATTTTCATTTCGCAAACTACAGATTTTCATTTCGCAAACTACAGATTTTCATTTCGCAAACTACAGATTCTCATTTCGCAAACTACAGATTTTCATTTCGCAAACTACAGATTTTCATTTCGTTTCGTTCCATTTCGCTTCGTTTCATTTCGTTTCGCTCCATTTCGTTTCGCAAACTACAGTAAGCCCGTTTATATGCCGTTTCTCAAATGGCCTTTACAACTTTTATAGTTGTATTAATGCAGGTCTTTGCAATATAACACAGTGCATACTGGAAACAAAATAGCGTGACTCTAAATCACTAACATTGCGAATTGCGTGATTATAGGACCTTCCAAACGCGTAATGTCTCATGGGATAGAGAATCTTCTCGCTGCCATTTTTGCAGGCGCTTTCACTTTTTGAATTTTCATTTATCATTCTCTACTAAAGAAGGCCTAGACTCTTGAGGTACGTTGAAGGTATTTTTACTTCTGTTTGTACTAGTCTTTGTGTGCGTAGTTTTCCTGCAATTTTGGGTTTAGAAAACAGATTGGTGAACAAGGAAATAGAATTATGGGTCTCCATTCTGGACATTTTGAACTATTGGGAAGGGATTCTTCTCTACTTAATGTACTGTACATCAGGTCAAATGTGTGCTGCGAAGCACGTTCAAGCACACAGTGGCCCTTCCATGTTGTTTTCTTTTAACTTTGGCCTTTTTCCGTGAACAGTTGCTAGTTTATAATTAACGTGTAAGTTTAATTTCAGACACAGGAAGCCGTTAATATCTTCAGGCATCATGGATTGTTAATATTGCTAGGGCTAATAATTTGTTAGCCACTCGTTTATAATCTGCCTCGAATGAAATATCGTGAATATTGATCTTATTAATATGAAATCTAGACACTAATAACGGAGAGGTCTGGGTTGGGGCAGGCAGTTGTACTTTGTATAGGAGTCGTCCTATTTCAGAATTGTTATTGAGCAATATATTGTATGAGAGTCATAAGACCATACTGATAACCAATTGTAAATACACCATGCTGGGACTGGCAAGTTGGTGAGTTATCCGTCGTGAGTTACTGCAGCGAGTTAGCGAGTGGTGAGTTGCAAGATCTTGAATTTTCCAAATCTTGCCGGCAAGATCTTGAATTTTCCAAACCTTGCTGGCAGGATTTTGAATTTTCTAGATCTTGCAGGCAAGATATTGAATTTTCCGAATCTTGTCGGCAAGATTTGGAATTTTCTTAATCTTGCCTGCCTATGAGACATATAAAGTAAACCAGACATTGAAGCCTTCATCGAACAAGCAAGCTTACATCACCCAACTATCAAATTCACGGCCGAAATATCTGACACTGAGACTGTGTTTTTAGGACACGGTTGTATACGAAGGCACAAGATTCAAGGAAAAATCTATCTTTGATGTAAAGACACGTTTTAAAAAACCGGAAACCTTCCAGTACACATATTTTACCTCTTGTCACTTGCTGAGTGTTAAAAAAGGATTTGTCAAGAATCCTACAAACAAACTCCTCCAAAACTACGTTTGAGGAAAATATTTCAATGTTCAGAAAACGCTTGATTGACAGAGGCTACCCACAAACTATGATAGAAAACCTTCTATCAGATATAAGTGCACAGGGAGGGAGTCTGCACTTCTGAAACACAAAAACAAAGAGGAAAAAGAAATATTGCCTTTCGTGACACAGTACCAGCCCTCAGTGTCTACTTTAAAAGAAGTTTTAAAGAAGAAATGGCATCTTATACAAAACCAACCGTTACTTCGCCAAGTTTTTAAAGAACCACCTATCATTTCCTACAAGAAAGGAAAATCCCTAAAGGACATGTTTGTTAGAGCTAAAACGTAAAAGGTTAACACAAGGTTTCACGCCGGTATAGATGTGCGGCCTGTCACCCCTTGCATTTTTTCATGGTACGTTTGCCGTTGTTCATGTTGACGTGATCAGAAAAAAATAGAAGTTATACCCGCCTGGATTCACAAATTGCCTTTTTTACAGCAAATGAGAAAATTGCAAGATTTGGAAAATTCCATATCTTGCCGGCGGGCAACATTTGGAAAATTCCAAATTTTGCCGGCAAGATTTGGAAAATTCCAGATCTTGCCAGCAAGATTTGGACAGTTCAGATTCTTGCAGGCAAGATTTGGAAAATTCTAGATCTTGCAACTCACATGAGTTAACTCACCACTACTAACTTACCACCTTGTTGAACTCCACCACACTAGCTTGTAATCTATTGCTTAATTTTTGATATTATTAGACAAAGTCTTAGAATTTTAGTGCACTCTCAGAAAGCAAGCAAGATTAAGCCTGAATATCTTTAGTGTCCTGCCTAACCCACTGCTCAATAGGTTATCATTAGATCCCACTGACCGTAGCCCCTTCAGACTCCTCATGAAATTTACACAACGTAGTTTTCCCCTTTACTAATTAGGGTTAAAGGGGCTGTGTCACAGCAGTCCAGTTCATTTTGTTTAAGTTTGCCAATTACTCACCCTCAGTTGCTATGGAACTTAAAGTAAGCATAGAAATTGCATGTACAAAATCAGAGATCTGTGACAAACAAGTGTGTCTCTTGAGCATTATTTTTGAAGTTGCAAGCAGCAGGGATCAACTTTGAAAAACTGTTAGTCTGAACAGTTTTCAAAAATGATAAATGATAAATGATAATGAATTTGTATAGTGCTAAAACTATAGAAGAATATTCAAAAGTGCTTTACATGAAGTAAAAATTAAAGAATAAACAATAAATAAAAAATTTTAAAATCCCTGAAAGCTGTAATAAATATAACAGTAATATGTTATGCTATGGTAAAATCTAAAATGAAATTCCAAAATTCCAAACTAAATTAAAGTTAAACATTAGAACTATTCCAACAAATTAAAAGCTTTCTTAAAAAGAAATATGTTTTGCGTTGCTTTTTAAAAATGGTGAGGCTGCTACTTGTTCTTATAGTTAATGGCAGCAAGTTCCATAAAATAGGTGCAGCATGAGCAAAGGCCCGATCCCCAAGTGTAGAGCAGTTGACTTTTGGAATGAACAGAAGAGATATGTGCAGACGAATGAAGAGCATAATTAGCAGCTGGTTTCAGGGATAAGAGATCGTTAATGTAGGATGGACTTTGGTTGTGTAGTGACTTGTAAACAAAAAGGAGCAATTTGAACTGAACTCTAAATGTTACTGGAAGCCAATGTAAGTCAATAAGAGTGGGTGTGATATGATCAAATTTCGCAATCTGAAAAGTCTCTGTAGCCGCGGCATTCTGAACTTTCTGTAAACGATCAAGTTGATATTTAGGTAGACCAAATAGAAGTGCATTACAGTAATCAAGGTGCAAAGATACAAAGGCGTGGATCAGTGTCTTTGTGGATTGCACAGTAAGAAATTTTCTGATCTGTCTTATGTTGTATAGTCCATGAAAAGGCTTGCTACAAATTTTGCCTATGTGAACATTTTTTTTTTTTTTTTTTTTTTTTTTTTTTTTTTTTTTTTTTTACGGTTAT